GTTTCAATGACTAATTTAAATTTATTATTTAAATGGTCAAATTTATTTATGTTTCGCTAATATTCTTGTAAAACTTATTATAGATGACAAAAAAAAAACTTCTTCAAATACAAAAATTAAATTACAATATAAACAAAAAAAAAATTGTTTTAAATTATAATATAGCCACAAAAAAAAAATTAAAATTTTTTCTTTATACTAAGAAATGAAAGAACTAAATAAAATAAGAATAAGAAACTCAAATAATGAAAATCAAAGAAGTCAAAAAATAATTTATGTATGAAAAAAATTGAAATATACCTTGAACTTTGCTAGAAGAATCATATATACCCCTAAATGATTTTTAAAAAAATTAAAAGTCAAAAATATAAATTTAAAATTAATTTTTTCACTTCCGTTAAATGAAGGTATGTGTGAGCTCATTTTGTAATGGTAGGGTATATGTGAGCCGTTTGTATAACGGTAAAGGTATATACAGGGGCGGAGCTACGGTATTAAATGGGGGTTCGGACAAACCCACTGGCTTTTACGTAGACCCTATATACGTACTAAAAAATCATGTATATATATTTAAATATTGTGTGCGAACCCACATCAAACTAAGGTGTGTGGCGCAATGATAAGCGCGGGTAGCTCTGATTCTTTGGTTGGGGGTTTGAGCCCCACTAACAACTATTCATTTTTTTATTTAATTCAATTTTTCCGGATTTTTTTTATTTTGGATTAAAAATGTGCTTTGTGTCTATCTTTTACCCTCCTTTAATTCAATTTTTCCTATATAGATTTTTCTAAATTCTTTTTCAAACAATAAAATAGAAAATTGATAATTGAAAATAATAAAAAGGTAGTGTCATACTCCAAAACAACATCTGACAATTAATTTCAAAATAGATAATTGTAAGTAACAAAAATATAGTGACATACTCTAAAACAACATCTCACTATTGATTTCTTTTGAAGCATTCAATAAAATGTTAAACCCAAAAAAATTAAAAAATTAGGGTTCTAATTTTTACTACCTACTTCATTGCTACTGCTTGTTGTCAAAGTGCAGACCTCTGTCCTGATAAGTACTATTTACTCTTCTCAGTTCCTCCTCGGCTCTCCCTTTTCTTTTTTTTTTATTTGTCTTTACATAATATAACAATTTATTCAAGGATCTTATTATTAATCTTCGATTTTAAGACTGTTCCACGTATTAATAATTGATTATATTAATTAAGTTATTGTTTGCTTCTCAGAACTTCAACTTTCAGGGCAAGAGTGGCTCAGGGTGAAGCAAGTAAAACCTTCCCTTTAGGTCCCAACAATATTAATGGTGAATTTAATAATTTTAATTTTACTTAAAATAATATTGAGAATATAGAAAAAAATGTTCAAAAGTTATACTAAAATATAACACTTATCTACCTTTTACCAAAAAATTAGAACTTTGAAATGAATAACTCAAATCTTCATATTAATAAATGAACTATTTGAAAGTGTACCAAATGATGCATCATTTTTGTTTTCAAAACATAACAACTTGTCTAGTGAAATTTTAACGATTGTTATATTAGTCAAATATGTTGTTCTGTTTTAAAATTTAGAACCCACAAATATCAAATTCTGGCTCCGCCTCTGGGTATATATGAGCCACTTTCATAACGATGGGCATATCAGCTCCAAAATGGCAAAGTTGAAGGGTATATCAGACCCTTTTCCCTATATTTTTTTATGTTTTTATTTTTTTTAAAAAAAATTTTACTTATGAAATATATTATGCTTGTGGAATTTTTTCCGTTTAGAACTCATTTGGTACACATTTTGGAAGCATTTTTGGAGAAAAAAAATTGTGGAAATTTTGTTTGGCAAAATTTGCTTCAAATTTATTTTTGGGTCAAGATATAATTATTGTTTTCATTTAATTTTGAACTTGTCCCAAATTTTTATATTTTATAAAATAAAAAAAATAATGTATTATTTCGGATTTATTTTGCTTAATTTGTATTAGATATTTCAGATTTGTGTGTTTGGTTGTGAATTTTTTTTACTATTTTTTGTAGTTGAACTCTAAAAAACAAATTTGACCATCAAATTATAGAAATTAACTTGAAGTTAAATTTCTGAATTTTCAATAATTTGAAAAATAATAAAAAAGTGTTTCCACTTTTTCACTCCTAAGCTTTCTCATTTTCCTAATATAAACAGGCTTCAAGGGGAAAGTGAACACCACATTAGATCTTCAATTAACAAATTTACCAAAAGAGTTGCGTTTATCTTATAAATTCAGCCCTATATATAGAGTAGTGTCTTGTGTCTCCTCATTCTTATGTCTGAATAAAATAAAACTCAAATTATTGAAGAAATAAGTAATCTGATGGCAACTCCTTTTAATAGTATGATAGATGAAGTTCGTGTGATGCTTGTAGATCATGACAAAGAGAATGCTACTGAGATAGTTGGTTTGCTATAATCTTATAAATATAAAGGTGACATTTCTAAAAATGTTATATAAATCGTATAACATCTTTTTTTTTTTTAATATAGATATAACTAAATTCTATGTCATTTTTCATAGGAGTTTAATTGATATGATACTTATTATCTAATTTGTGATCATTTGACTTTTTTTCGGATTTCATTTATCTTTCAAATTTTGAATTTCTCTCTTTCTTGTTTCCATAATACTATTTCTATGCTTGTTTATGTTATTTTACTAGTTAATAAATGATTTTTTTGTGGTTAAAAGAAGTAAATTAGATTTTTTTTTTATTTGTGGTTCTTGCAATAACCATTTACACAAATGATTAGTTTCTTTCATAAAGATGTATATGATTTTTAAAAGGGGATCAATAGATTTATGTTGATTTCTGTGTCGTTCCAATTTAATCAGATTTTTCATCGTAAGGGACATATTTTTATGATAATATTGATTATTTAATCAACCTACATATGTGTTTTACACTTGGTCTTTTTGTTGAAAAAGAAGGGAAACTATTCTTTGTCAAATGGCCTAGAGAGACATAGAGTTGGAGGTGAAAATTATTTAAATTACTCAAAAAAAAATTTGAAGGTGGAGATCTCTAATTTTATAAATCTATCATTTTATAAAAAATAAATTCACTAGGGTGGTGGAGGCACCATATTAGAGTAATGGGAGGGAATAGAAAGAGTAAGAGAAGGACATGATAAGAGTTGATCTTGCTGTCAATATTATTTAAAATAACTTCTTCTTTTTTGTATTTTATTGGTGTAGATAAAAAAGTGGGGAGAGATATTTTTTACGAAAAAAATAATATTTTCTTTAAAGAACTTTTTTTTAATACACACCTTCTTTTGGTTGCACCTCAAGTTTTTTAAATATTTTAATTTTATTTAGTTTTTTCTTAATCGAAATGGACCAAATTTGAGTCTACTTTAATGACTACTTTTCAAATATTATTTTTAATTTTGTCTCAACCTTAATAGTTATTCAATTACTTTTCCTGCTTTAATTTGTGAAGACAATAAACAATTTTTAAAATTCTTGAAAAAAGTAAATAAATGTTATAATTATCTTACTATACCCCGAAAGCTAACTTAAATAGTAATTCTCTTGAACCATTTTACACCGAAAAAAAAGTATATAACAGGTAATTTAGGCAGCCAAACCCCCATCAATTTGGGTGGGTTTGGGGGAGGGGGTATAGCTTAAGTGCGTTTTTTATGACTTTTTCTTATTTGCTTTTGTTTGATTTCTCAATTACTTTGTAAATGTTCATTGATTGTTTATGTCTAAGTTATGTAAATTGTGTTGACTTGAATTTTTTGCTAGCTACTTTGTAGGTATAGAAGTACACATGCATAAAATAAGAAATTGTGTTGTACAAACAAATTAAAGTAACAAATTAATTGTAGGAGTGGTATTTAATAAACAGCCCTAATAATGATAAGAGTGTGTATAATATTTTTTTCTTGTTCTTAATACACTGACTTTCAAAGTGCATGAATATATACAGTTACGACCGTTGATATGGCTCTCGTGGGGATGTCAATGCTCTCCAAAGAAAAGGAAAAAATTGATGTGATAATAATCAATGTCCATTCACCAGATTCATTTTGTTTTGAACTCTTGAAACAAGTTGTGGCGTTGAATATAGTCTCTCTGTGTAAGTATTTAATCGATCTTTATTTTCTTGTTGTGTAAAGACAATTGTATTAATTAATATACTACAAGCAATCATTAACTATAAAATTCACCGTTAATCAATTTTTAAATAGTATGTAGCTAAATAAAGTTTGAATAATTCATCATTAAATAAGATTAAAGATTTTTTGTTCTTTAATTAGCGACATAAATTATCCGTTATCGAATCTTATTTTTTTAGTATATGATAAATGGATATCTTGTAAAATTTATATCAGTCAATATACTTGAAATTAATTAGTCACATAAGGTTTTACTAGATATGACATGAATATTTTAAGATTTTATTGCTATAGTGGGTAAAATTAGTTACTCTTATCAATATATACTTCAAAAATAATATAAAATTCATCACTAGATAGTTCATATGTAGCTAACATAGTTTGTTTTGATAATCTGTCATTATTGACTATTTTTAATTATTTGGCAATAGAAATTATCCAGTGTTAATCCTTTTTTTCTACAGTGATATGATATGCAATTGATTTGTAATGGTAATAACACATAAAATTTAGTGATTATGCATGAAACTAACTATTCACATAATGTTTAATATAACTCAATTCAAATTGCTAGTTTTGAAAATAATTATGCAATTGTATGTGATAAATATAATGAACTCTTTGCAAAGAAGGCTTTCTATGATGAAGCTTTCCTTTACTTCAAAAGGCCACTTGACAAGGAAATTGTGAAATGCTTGTGGCAATTTGTATTGAGTAAAAAAATACAAAGAGAGAAAGAGAGAGAAGAATTTAGAGATTTGGTGAATATTGTTGATGAAATTGGTAACAATAATATTGTTGGAGTAAAAAAATAAGTTGGGGAGAAGAATATGCCTATTAATACTAAGGAACAAAGAAAAGATACTAATGAGGTTGAAACAAATGTCATATCAAATGGAGAATATAGTCTCGGGAGGAAAAGAGGAAGACAAAACACAAAAGAGATTAATGAAGGAGAAAGAAAGATAAATGCTAGTAATGTAACAGTTACGCGAAAGGACTGCATAGAATGGACAATAAATCTTCATGGTAAATTTGTGGAAGCTACACAACAACTTGGTGAAAAAAGTAAGTTTACTTCATTATTAACTACTTTTCTCGACAATTCATTTCTATGAAGCGATATGAACAGTAGAAATTCATATTTATATATAACGTCAAGTAGTTTGGAATTAATGCATAGTAATTATTGTGTTTACTGATACCTTGGCTTGATCAAGGAGTATTTTACTAGTGATTAAATTTAAGTTACATTCTAATGAAACATGTAGGTTGTTTGCCGGAAAATATTGTTAAGGAGATGAATGTGTCCGGTCTTACCAAGAATCAAGTTTCAAGCCATCTTCAGGTAACATTCCTAAAAAAAGGCTAAGTTATAAATTATGTGTGTTTGGTATTGGGAAAGATATTTTCATGAAAATGTTTGCTTAGAACGATTTTTGATTTAATGCTTGGGAGATCTCATACTTTTCGTCAAACACTTGCTAGAAAATGGTTTGCTTAACTTTAATTTTGCTTAATTAATTAGAAAAAAAAAATTAATCTTACATCTGTCAGCTGATAAATGTTAGGTAACTATTCATAGTACTCAAAAGTTTTATCAAAAGAGGATTAGCGACAAACTTTTATTGTATGTCTAGTGATAGAAATTATTCTTTGTTATTTTTTTATTTTCTTGTAGTGATTATTCAATGAAATAATATTAATGACAATTTTTAACTCAAAAAACGATTTTTATCATTCACCATTACCAAACACCAATTATGTTTTCTATCAAAATAAGTGTATTTCAAACACATCTAAATAATAATGAGTTGTGATGATAAATATATCCCTAGTCCAAACTCTCCTTTGATTTTTTTTCTTCTTTCAGATGCATCGCAGCAAGAAATGGAGACCTCCAGAAGAGAAAAAATACATTCGTCAAGAATCGTCAAGTGGTTGTCAACAAGAAAATAACTTTATAGAGCTTGAGAGAATGCTTCATATTAAAAAAAAAATATTCCAAATCAAACCCCAAGAGTTAGAGAATTTCAACCAATTAACACAAACAACATTTTTGCTAGTTCAACTCAACAGCAACAACAACAGTTGTGCCGCCCACAACTTCAGGCTCAACCCCACTACCTTAACCCTTTTTTGTCTTCACAAAATAATGTTGATGGTCGGATACAAAATAATGGACCATTATTTGGTTCACAAGGACCAATTATTAGGAGCACCAATTATAAGCCTTGTTTGGAGTATAATAGTTGTGATCATCACAATTACAACATGGATGTCAATGCGGCCCATGTACCAACATATTCAAGTAGTCCAATGGCGTTCAATACAAATATTGGAGATGCGACAGTTAATAGATTGGGAACAATAAATACTAATTTTCCACAAGATGTTCGTGAACAAAACATGTCTAGTCCAAGCAACATTGTCACGGCATCAAATGCAGTTGATATTGAAGGAAATGACTCAAATGAGAAGGAAGATTGTGATTTGTATTTCAATTACAATGATTATCTCAAGTGTTTCAACAACGAAGAAGATAAAGAGGACAAATGAATTAGGAAACCCTAGAGATACATGTATATGTACAACTAGGTGTTTTTATTTTTGTGTTATTTTATAATTTGTCTTGTTATTTTTGTTTGAGCGGGAAAACTTGGGTTTCTGCCCATGTGATGTGTTTGTTTGTGTTCATTTGATTAATAAATGCCAATGTTTGATTTTAAAAAAACTTTTCTAGATCTGTATCAAAAAGAACATCAGGGGCAGCTTAAAGTTCGAGATTACCTTTCTATAGAAAAGTGATTTTTGTGTCCTCATTCCAACTATATACAACACAATTACCTTCCTACAGAGAAGTGGTTTTTGGGCCTTCCTTTCAACCTAATATCATTCTATACAACTAGATTTTAGCTAATTGAATTAGAGAAGTGGGTTGAATATGATAGTTATACTTTGATATCTTGCTTTCAACTTATTTATACCATACAATTCAGCTCGAGAAGACTTGAACTCATTATATTCCCTTTTGAACAAAATCAAGCTCTTTTTTAGATCCACCTCTCACAAGGAGCAAATAATTAAATGAACATTCAGGTTGTTTTTTGATACACGTTTCAACTCCTGTTTGTGCTCTCTTCTGGGCTTCAGCCTTAAGTTCTTTAATTTAGAATTGAAATTCGTTAGTTTATCCTGGGATTACTCATACATATAGCTCAATTTAGTTACCTCTTATTATTTTTCAGCTAGCTTAGAGGTGCTACTTTGAAGATTTCAAGCTTCTCTTTAAGTCCCTTTGCAATTTCTTCTTATCCTCCTTCGTCTGTATAAGATCATTTCAACGCCCTCTATCTCATTGTTTTCTAACCAAATACCACTAAGCAGCAAACTAAGTTGTCACACCCCGAAGCTACCCTCAGGACGCGGACACGGAACCTAGGATCACGAGTGACCCCAAGCTAACCCTGTTGGCATATCATAAGCATACATAAAGATTTATTGAAATAGAAACACTGTGCGGAAGCTTAAAACATAAGGTAAATCGAAATGATGGGGAATACCCATATACTAATCTGAATAAATAAAGACTGAGAGTTTAACAACAACTGAAAGGTCAAACTCAAATGCTAAAGCTGAAACTAACTATGTCTGAAATAAGCCTCTAACTGACTAGAAGTGCCGGGACATGCCCCCAGCTAAATCTTGCAAAATTGAAAACTAAAGACTAAAAGCAAAAGAAACATGTCTGTCGTTCTCGAGAATTAAGGACTCACCACTAATGCTGCTGAACTGGAGATCGGGAACCGATCTATACGTGATCTGGATGCTGAGGACCTGAACCTACATCACGAGAAGATGTAGCGTAGAGTATGCATCAGTACTTGAAAGGTACTGAGCATGCAAGATAGAATAAAGCTGAATAACATACATAACTGAACAAAGCATATAATTGAGCAATGATATGAGATAAACATGATACTATACTGAGATTACTGAACATGACATAACTAAATGCAATGACAAAATTTATAACATGTTGAGACAGAAACCTGACTGTAACTGATAACATGGTCAATGCAATAGAATCCGACTGGACTGTGGGAGCTACTAATAACCGACATAAAACCACATAAGCTAAATATGGAGTCCAATGTATACGCCCCATCGAGAGGACCTAATATACCTTGCTAGAGGTATAGAGGCATGACTGTCGAAACCTGGAAGATGGCTGATGAATGTGCTGGAGCTGAAGACTTTTGATGAACTGCGAGCGATTTCCACCACCTGACTTCTGTTGAGAATACTCATAGTTGCATGTTCTAGCCTTTTGTTCTCCTTAGCCTGTTCCCTAAGCTTATCTCTCTCAACCTGCTGAGCATGAGTCATGAGCCTAGAGATGTTCATATTTTCCAGCAACATAGCATTTCTACACTTTGTTTTCACTAAGTCGGATACCCCATACAGAAACTTGTTCATTTGAGTCCTGGAATCAGCAACCATGTGAGGAGAATACCTGGAGAGTTGGGTGAACTTGAGTCCATACTCTTGGACTGTCATGTTACTGAAACGACCCCAAAAAAATGCCCGAAAATGTGCTTCGGAAACACCTATAATTGTAATTTCCATATATCTCAAAATCCGTTTCGTTTTTCGAAAATCCGACTTCATATTCTTGTTTAGGGGGTCAAATTGAGTGGGAAATGGGTCTAACCCAAATTTTAGAGCAACCGTATCAAAATCCAAAATTTCCAAGTGAAGCCTTTTTCGAGGGTCTACTTTGGAGGGTCATATCTCCTAGCACACAAATTATTTGGTGGCCAATAATATATCCATGGAAATCCCTTTGAGTTAGCTATCTAACGCACTTCGTTTCACCTTATTCGGAGTTCGGACGAAGAAGTTATGCCCATTTTCGTAAAGTCTGTCCGGCAGAAAATCCAAATTCCAGTAGCTGATTTTACTGTTCATCTACTGTTCACCCGCCTGTTTTTTTTTCTAAGTGTTGGACCCTTTTTTTCAAAGGACTTATATTAATTCCTAGATACCATAATCCAATTCCCATCCCAAAAAAAAAACATTTCCCTCTCTACAATCCTCCATTTAAGAAGAAGAAGAAGTGGGAGCTAGGGCTTTGGATTCAAGGCTTTCTTCATCAATTTTCGTGGGAGATCATAGCAAAGGTATGGGGGTCTTGATCCTTGTCTAATTTTCCATACAAGGAGCCAAATCCAAAGTTACTTCAAAATATGAAAAATCTAGGTTTTCACTCAATCTCATGGGTTCTTCCATCAAATGGTTTTAAAAGGTTTCTAATGGCACTTTATGGTTATATTGTTGTTGTATTGACGATTTAAGATGAAAATACTCCATGAACCCATGATTTCTCTCTATTCCTAGTTTATGCCTTTATGAAGTGGTTGCTAGATAATGAATGTATATGAATCAAACTTGTTTAAAGGTCTTTAGATTGTTGAAGTATGTCATTACCCATGCTTATTTTATGGTGTATTGTTGGTGTATTGGTATGTGAGGCTTATGACCTTAAAGGCATAGTATGAGAAATTGGAGTGTTATCATGACATTATATGAATGAGAATCCAATGAAGATAATGTGATCATGTTATGAATGTAAAGGTGTTGTTGTAGGTTGTTCACTGTTTTGGTTGCATAATTACTACCCTAATTTCCATGCTCTTTGATTTCATTACATGCCTTCAAGGTGTTTGACAAAATGTCCAACTATGGAGAATTGATAAATTGATGTTTTAAAGCTTGAGTTATGAGATGTATGGAACTTCAAAGATGTGTTGATGACAAACTAAGCTTGTGTATATGTTCATTCCATACGTGAGATTGCATTAGAGCCTAATGAGAATTTCCTATATAAAGTGTTGCATGACCATGCCCGGTCCGGGGGAAAAGAACCGGACAACCATGTGAGAGGTTTATATCTCACCACCTAGGATGTTTGGGGTGTGACCAACATCAACCATGTGAGAGGTTTATATCTCACCACCTAGGATGTTTGGGGTGTGACCAACATCAACCATGTGAGAGGTTTATATCTCACCACCTAGGATGCTTGGGGTGTGACCAACATCAACCATGTGAGGGGTTTATACCTTGCCACCAGGGTGTCCGGGTGTGAACGGCATCCCCCATCCTAAGTTGGGGTTATAGATTGGTTGGATCATGCATACACATATGATATCTACTATTAGTATAGATTTACTTAAACATGTTTTGACTTCACTTTGATCATGCATCCTCATATTGTTATTCATAATGCCTATGAAACTATTTCTTGTATTTCGATTGTGTCCTTGTTTATTGTTGTGTTGCACCCCGCATACTTAGTACATTCCAAGTACTAACGCATATTTTGCCTACATGATGTCACCATGTAGGGACCGGAGCTACTCTTGATCCTTCTCTCCATTCACGTGGCTAGTACGACGCTTATCCGAGTTTGTTGGTGAGTCCTCAATAATTCGAGGGCTATGTTATGTTTTTTACTCCTATGTTTTGAGACTTTAGCTTGCAATTGTATTTTAACTATGAGGGGAGCCGGTAATATGTCATGGCCCCCGTCCTATCTATGTATGTAGAGGTGTGAGTTGGACAAGTATTTTGTAAACGAGCTTGACTCTTATTCTATGATGTCATTTTGAAATGGTTTGCCTTAGTCCCTATTTCCCGTTAATTAATGTTGAATGTACTTCCGCGATCGATGAAGTGTGATGACTAGTTTGAGAGGCTTGTTTGGGGTTTCTTCGGGTTCCTCATTCGCCATGTCACGTCTAGGCCCTAGGCTTGGGTCGTGACAGTTACCTTGCCTCAAATTCATGAACTCCTGAGCTTTTGCCTCCCTCAACTCTCTTGGGAAGAACCTGTCCAGAAAAGTCTCACTAAAGCATTCCCAAGTGATAGGAGTTGCATCAGTAACCTTGTTCTCTTTCCATTGAGTATACCATATGTGAGCTACATCCTTAAGCTGATAGGATGCCAACTCTACCCTATCATTATCTGTCACTTTCATCACTCCAAAGATCTTCTCGACCTCATCTATGAAGTTTTGTAGATCCTCACCAATCTGCGACCCTAAGAAAATCGGCGAATTCATCCTAACAAAATCATAAAACTTTGTTGCCACTAATCCACCACTAGTATTTGCAGGGATTGGAACATACTGGTTGTTCTGGTTGGTCACACTCTGAGCCAAAAGTTGAATGCCATTTCAGAACTATACATTCGAAACTTCCTGATTTGGGACTGGAGGAGCCGCGTTAGCGTTACGGGCATTCACATTCCTTCTGTAAGCTCTACGATGATGCATGATCTGAAAGCGTATAACGATGGATTAGAAAGAGATCATACCTTACACACGATCAAGAAAGTGAAGTTTTCCTAAAATATTTCGTAGCCTCCTTCTCATTAAATGTGGTGCACTTCACACCTATGAAAATGACTCTACTTAGTGAGGTTTTTTAGACATCCTAGGACTCTTTAACATAATGCTCTGATACCAACTTTGTCACACCCCAAAGTTACCCCTA